TTGCAGGGTTCTCACAAAGAAGGAGTCTTGAAACTCCCAAGCACAAAAAGTAGGAGTTCCAGATCAGATCAGTTCAGTTATGTCTTGTTTATCAATTCCCATAGCATGATTTTTTTTCCTCCAGACTATTTTTTGTAATCACTGCTATGAAATATTTCCATTCAATATGTAACAACAGCAGTGTTAAGACATGGATACCTTCTTATATTATATGTTTCAGTTATATATTTTTTATAATTTCTAGATATTTCACAAATAAGTCAAAATTACAGACTTTTTAAAAGTGTATCAATTACTGATTGACAGAAAAATATTGACGATACATCAATTTGGTTTTCTACTGATAACAGCTGTAGTGAAATAGTCATCAGATTACTTACCTTGTCATGTATATTATGCATGAACATAGCTATATTTTATCATCTTCTAAAAATATAATTGAAAACAAAGCAACTTACTACAGCATTTCTTCAAAATATCTACAAATTCTTTACAGTAGGTCCTCTTGTCATTTTTATTCTGCTCCTATAATGGGAAAATATCATATCTGACATAAAAATGTATTCCCTGTCTACATAGAACTGTTTCTACTGCAGTATAATAACAAATGAGCCGTGTCATGACAAAACAAACATGGTGAGTTTGCGACCAGCATGGATCCAGACCAGCCTGCGCATCCGCGCAGTCTGATCAGGATCCATGCTGTTCGCTTACCAACTCTATAACAAGTAGAGAAACTGATAGTGAACAACATGGATCCTGATCAGACTGCGCGGATGCGCAGGCTGGTCTGGATCCATGCTGGTCGCAAACGCATTATGTTGGTTTTGTTGTGACACGGCTCAAATGTCAAAGTTGGCTGGCAGTGGTAATCACCATAATGACTAATACGGTTAAAATCAGCAAACATGGCATTTATGAAATTTAACAAAAGCTGTATCAGGAACAGCGCACACCATATCTTATATTAATAAACTGCAGATATTTTAAACAAAAGAGATAATTTGAATTCATAGTCATATTGACTGTGACAGTTTGACCGGAAAATGGACAGAATGTTTTTTTGCACAATTAAGGCCAACCTTAAAAATTTCTTTGTTTCCCATGAAGCATGCCAAATAGGGAAAGGGTTGGTTAGATATACATGTGTATTTCTTTATCTACAATACAAATGTATCTTTTTATTAAGACTAAGCATAATCATAAATTAATATAATTTACATGAAATTATATCTGCATTATATTGATTTCAAAAAAAAAAATTGTAAATGCTCAGCATCTCTTCAATGTTAAGAACCAAAGTTTTATTCAATAGATATCCCATTTTGTATAACAAGCAAACTTCTTCTATATTAAAGTAAAACAAGAGCTGTCAGTAGGACAGCAACGCTCGACTATTCTTAGTGCTTGATAGTAAATGAGCCTTGATAATGTAAAATTTCTGAGTTAATAACAAAAGGACAAATTTTTTCTTTAAATCCATGTTACAGTTATAGGCCTTGGAGAGAGTCCTATTATGCTCTCAAAGAAGAGTATAAAATTTCAACTTGTTTCAATAAAATATGAAAATATCTGAGGTGGTATGCATACCTAAATGTAAATTCTAAGTTGAAACAAGTGTGCAAAGTTTCAAAGCCATTTGTCAATGGACTTTGAAAATATTTGAGGTATTACAAAAACTTTAACGTAAATACTTAGGCAAAAACGGGTCATAATTCTGTCAAAATGCTTGATACAGTTACCTCCTCCTGTCTACAGGTTGGGGTCATGATGGTGAACAAGTGTGCAAAGTTTCAAAGCCATATGTCAATGGACTTTGAAAATATTTGAGGTATTACAAAAACTTTAATGTAAATACTAAGTCAAAAAGGGGCATTATTCTGTCAAAATGCTTGATAGAGTTACCTCCTCCTGTCTACAGGTTGGGTTCATGATGGTGAACAAGTGTGCAAAGTTTCAAAGCCATTTGTCAATTGACTTTGAAAATATTTGAGGTTTTACAAAAACTTTAACATAAATACTAAGTCAAACAAGAGCTGTCGGTAGGACAGCAGCGCTTGACTATTCTTAGTGCTTGATAGTAAATAAAGCCTTGATTAAAAGGTAAAATTTTCTCAGTAAAGAAAAAGGCAAATTTTTTCTTTAAATCCATATTACAGTTATAGGCATTGGAGAGAGTCCTATTATGCTGTCAAAGAAGAGTATAAAATTTCAACATGTTTAAAAGCCTTATGAACTTTGAAAATATTTGAGGTATTACAAAAACTTTAACGTAAATTCTAAGTCAAAAAAGAAGCATAATTCTGTCAAAATGCTTGATAGAGTTACCTCCTCCTGTTTTCAGGTTGGGGTCATGATGGTGAACAAGTGTGCAAAGTTTCAAAGCCATATGTCAATGGACTTTGAAAATATTTGAGGTATTACAAAAACTTTAATGTAAATACTAAGTCAACAAGCAATTATCATAGTATTGCAAGCAATCCATAAGTCCCCTACCGGTAAGAGCCCAAGCAACATTCTGAAGGGCCATTGGCCATTCACTTAGGTTCCTATTTTAAGTAAATTTGTTGAAAAAGTTCTTTAAAAGTGATCACAGGAAACAGTTTTTATGTACAGACAGACGGACTGAAGGACACTCTAAAGTTATTTTTTAAACATCCCTGTTATTAAAATATAACATTTTTAAAATCCTATCATGATTGAAGAAGTTGGAGTAAAAATTACCAATTTCTCAAAAAAAACTCTAAGTTCAAAAGGGGCATAATTCTGGAAATAGTCTTGCTAGAGTATTGAACACTCACAAATGTTGAGTGACAATAAGAAACATTTATATGAAGTTTGAAGTAGATACATTCAGAAAAAGAAGTTATTAAAAAAAAAAACAATGTTTTTTTCATGAAAATTTTAAGTTCAAGGGAGGTAATTCTGATAAATTTTGTGCTAGAGTTGTAAACCTTGTCACATATGATGTGGTTGATGACAAGCAACTTCTATTTAAAGTTTGAAGAAAATACCTTAAGAAATAAAGAACTTATAGTGAAAAAACTTAAAAACTAGAATCAGAAATCTTGAAATTCAGTCTATTTGTTGCCATAGCAACCAGAATTTTCAACATAGGAAGATAAAAAAGGATGTGCATAATTTCCATACTGCCATCTATCCATATGTCAAGTTTCATAAACATATTTTCAGTACTTTTTGTGTTATCAATGGATCCAGGTTATGTGTAAAATTTGCCATATTTTCAGTCTATTTGTTGTTATAGCAACCAGAATTTTCAACATAGGAAGAAAAGAAAAAGAAGTGCATAATCTACATACTGCCATCTATCCATATATCATGTTTCATAAAATATTTTCAGTACTTTTTGCATTATCGCGGGATCCAGGTTATGTATAAAATTTGCCATATTTTCAGTCTTTTTGTTGCCATAGCAACCAGAATTTTCAACATAGGAAGAAAAGAAAAAGACGTGCATAATCTCCATACTGCCATCTATCCATATATCAAGTTTCATTAAAATATTTTCAGTACTTTTTGCGTTATCGCGGGATCCAGTTTTGTGGACGGACGGACAGACAGACGGACGGACTGACGGACAGACAGACGGAGGGTAAACCTAAAGTCCCCTCCGGTAAACCGGTAGGGGACTAAAAAAGGGGCATTATTCTGTCAAAATGCTTGATACAGTTACCTCCTCCTGTCTACAGGTTGGGTTCATGATGGTGAACAAGTGTGCAAAGTTTCAAAGCCATTTGTCAATTGACTTTGAAAATATTTGAGGTTTTACAAAAACTTTAACATAAATACTAAGTCAAACAAGAGCTGTCGGTAGGACAGCAGCGCTTGACTATTCTTAGTGCTTGATAGTAAATAAAGCCTTGATTACAAGGTAAAATTTTCTCAGTATCAAAAGAAAAAGGCAAATTTTTTTCTTTAAATCCATATTACAGTTATAGGCATTGGAGAGAGTCCTATTATGCTGTCAAAAGAAGAGTATAAAATTTCAACATGTTTTAAAAGCCTTATGAACTTTGAAAATATTTGAGGTATTACAAAAACTTTAACGTAAATTCTAAGTCAAAAAAGGGGGCATAATTCTGTCAAAATGCTTGATAGAGTTACCTCCTCCTGTTTTCAGGTTGGGGTCATGATGGTGAACAAGTGTGCAAAGATTCAAAGCCATATGTCAATGGACTTTGAAAATATTTGAGGTATTACAAAAAAACTTGTAACGTAAATTCTAAGTCAAAAAAAGGGGCATAATTCTGTCAAAATGCTTGATAGAGTTACCTCCTCCTGTCTACAGGTTGGGGTCATGATGGTGAACAAGTGTGCAAAGTTTCAAAGCCATATGTTAAATGCACTTTGAAAAATATTTGAGGTATTACAAAAACTTTAATGTAAATTCTAAGTCGAAAAAGGGGCATAACTCTGTCAAAATGCTTGATAGAGTTACCTCCTCCTGTCTACAGGTTGGGTTCATGATGGTGAACAAGTGTGCAAAGTTTCAAAGCCATATGTCAATGGACTTTGAAAATATTTGAGGTATTACAAAAACTTTAACATAAGTGGTTACGCCGACGCAGACACTCCGGTGACTACAATAGCTCTACTTATTCTTATCGAATAGTCGAGCTAAAAAGGGCATAATTCTGTCAAAATGCTTGATACAGTTACCTCCTCCTGTCTATATGTTGGGGTCATGATGATGAACAAGTGTGCAAAGTTGCCATATGTCAATGGACTTTGAAAATATTTGAGGTATTACAAAAACTTTAACCTAAGTAGTTATGCCGACGCTCGGGTGACTACAATTGCTCTACTTATTCTTATCGAATAGTTGAGCTAAAAAAGTTGTAAAATACTTGGGGTAATACAAGAAGCAGAGATTTTTACCAGTTGATAGTGGAGAGGAAAAAAAACAAGATTCTATAATAGGCATAACCCTACCAAAAGGAAGCCATGAGTTTTAGAGAATATTAAGTATGTAGACATACCAACAAGTACTTGCAAACAGCGGTTTTGTTTGACAGAGCCATCTTCTCTGCCATGCTGGGTAGACTGTGTCCATTTTCATTATGTAGTTGATCAAGAATAGACTGATATTGTTCATTTGCAAACAGTCCAAGATCCATACTCCATTTATATCTAAAATAATACAGATAAATTTCTACTTAATGTCTTAATTTAACTTCATTCAATCTCTGAAAAGAAAATTTCAAATGAAATGGAGTTTTCTGAAGCATTTTTAATACACAATTTAAATTTCACTTTTCTACATGTAAAAGTCCAAGCGAAACATCGTCGGACCGTCAGTCATGTCCTGTAATTTTTTTAAAGGTCCGACAAATTCAGAAAGTTCGCCGGACCTACTGTCCAGTAATTTTTTTTAGCAGTAGAACTATAAAAAAAGAAATCTTTTCACGTTTCTAGGTGCTCTTTCTCCAGTTTGCTAAGAAAAGCAAAAACAATGTCGCCCTTATTAGGATAAACACGTGCAATAATTTTCCAATTGTCAAAATCTTCCACGCTCCGCCTATATCAAAACGGTCTGTTAAACCAATTTTCATTGGTCGGTATAATTGGAAAACCAATGAAACGCGGCGATACAATTGAGCGGATGTTGGAAGTCAACAGGTGACATCTCCGGAGTGTTGATAATTGCCGATCAAATACATGTATCAACAACAACAATATAAACAGATTAGCGGCGATTCATGTCAATTAAGACCAATAAGGGACATACATAGCGCATAAATTTGCTTAGTGCATAAATTTGTCGGTAAGTCTAGTGATCATGTTGATATACATGTATGTTTGCTTTACAAAAACTTGTCGCCAAAAACTTCAGTCAAACATTTTGATTTTTACATTTTTTTTGTCAAATGCTTCAATAGCGAATGAAAATGATAGATAAATAAACTTCTGTAAACACTCGTAGTGGTGAATATCCGATGATTATTCTTAATAAGAATTTCTGTAAGAACAGTTGTAAATGATTTAAAAGAAGTTAAAATTTATTTGTGATGATGATCGTGATGCTCGAAATATTTAAATGTAACTTAAAGTATTTATTAGAGGACAATATTATTTATAATTCAGTGGAAAAAAACAACATCCACATGAACCTTATTAAGTTCATATAACATGTATTAACTACGACTCTAAACTGTCAAGAAATACTTTTTTGGGGGAAATATTGAAATTGATGAATTATATGATTTACTAAAAAGGGTTTTTATTTTTTTATTTCAGCACAAAGTCACCTGGCTGCAGTGACTAAATCAAAACAAGCTACATGAAACCTATGATAAAGATGATAGAGAAGAAAAAACATAAACGTTTTGAAAAAAATTCATATTTCAACATCTATAATAATATATTAGTATTATTATAGATGTTGAAATATGATTTTTTTTCAAAACGGCTTATATTAAGTTTTTTTGATATATATGATCAGTACATGTGCTGGGATTGACAAATATGCATTTTATTTGGATTTTAAAGGCGTTTTGAGCTCCAAACCCCAAGTGTCTGTGCATTTTACAACATTTGTAATTTTGCTGTTTATTGTTACTATAATATTAAATAAACTTTTACGTGCATGCATTGTTTTAGTCAACCTAATGTTTGGTTAATCTTATTTAAAATGGAATATCAAAACTTCCAAAAATGCAATTTGTATGCACTTGCCCCCAAAAACTTATCCCTAATAATACTATAAATGGGGAAAATTATACAAAATTTTTAGGTCCTGTAATTGTCACCAAGGTCCTGTAAAATACCAGGTTTCACAGGACCTATTGTCCTGTAAGATCATTTCAAGTTTCACTGGGACTGATGTACTATTAAATTTTTTAGTTAGTCTTTTGCACTGTTGCAAGTCTGATATTTTCTTTGAAATGTAGAAACGTATATTATACAATATGCACCTAAAAATGCATCGGAAGCCATTATTTAATATTCAATGAAAGACTTTTTAACACCCTAGCAATCACTTAAATTTGTAAACAAGAGCCATGTCAACATGGCCATCCCCCGCCGAATGTGTTTGCTCATTGGAAGAATGTATATGTAGTAGAGCAGAATAATTCCATTATAAGAGGTCTTTTGGTAATGAAAACTGATGGCTATAGTGATTACAGATTTGAAACCTATGTGAATACTGATGGCTGAAAATAACAAAGTCAATAACTGAAAAATAATGCAGGGTAGGTTATCATTCTTGTGTGCTGCATCCCTCCTCAGTAAAATCTATCCACCTATAAAGCTTCAAGTTGATACCTCAAACTCTTTTTGAGAAAAAAATTGAATTGAAAAATAAAGTATGAAAAATAACAAAGGGTAATAACTCAAAAATTATAAAAGGTAGAGTTATCATTCTTGTGCACTGCACACCTCCTGAGTTAGATCTATGCACCTATGAAGTTTCATAATGATATCTCAAAGGCCTTTTGAGTTATGCTCTGGACAAAAATTAATTTTGAAAAATAAAAAAGGGCAATAACTAAACAATTATGCAGGGTAGAGTTATCGTTCTTGTGCACTGCACTCTTCCTCAATGAGATCCATCCACCTATGAAGTTTCAAGTTGATACCTCAAATACTTTTTGAGATAAGCTGCGGACAAAATAGTATGAAAAAGAACAAAGGGCAATAACTCAAAAATTGTACAGGGAAGAGTTATCATTCTTGTGCACAGCATTTCTCCTCAATAAAATCTATCCACCTATGACATTTCATGTTGACATCTCAAACACTTTTGAGTTATGCTCCACTCGGGTGAAAAATTAGGTATGAAAAATAACAAAGGGCAATAACTCAACAAGAGGGCCATGATGGCCCTATATCGCTCACCTTAAGGAATAGATCTTAACTGGATTTTTCTTATTTAAAACAAGCAACATGTTTCTAAAATACTTTAATGTTATTTAGTCAGTGTTTTTGAGCAAGAGGAATGCAATCAAGTGTATAGAAATACCTCTTTTTTTCCTTTTCTTTAAAGTATAGGTTGCTAAAAAATACACTCCCTGTAGTGTGTTTACATCATGAAAATTTTAACAATGACATCATAATTAACAGGCGAAATACAAATTTGGATAATACGTTCAATAAAAATGGGTCCAAAGACAAAAATGGCCGGGTTGAATTTGTATACACAAATAACATGACTTCATGAGGCTTGTGATGTTACAAAAATGTACTACCATTGACCAGTAATAGTCGAACATTTTACTAAGTCGGTAAACAGGAAGTGGATAAGCGATAGAACCTGAACTTGGACCACATATTAATGCAGATCACATTACCAAATATCAAGAGGCTGTGTTATGTAGTCGCTGAGGAAAGAAACTGTTACGGAAATTTTCCTTCCATTTTACAATTAATTGCCAAAAATTCAACTAAGTCATCAAACGGGTAAGTGGATGGATTCACATACCTGTAAATCCCCTTCCCATTGTATGGACACATTGTGCTGCCCATATCCATATATCAAAGCTGTTGTAATTGTTGCTGAGATCCTCTTAAGTGTAAAAAAGTCTTACCAATTGACCATTAGTTATGAATGTTAACTAATGTCGTTAACTAGTGGTGAGTTGATAGACCTCGAATCGAATCCCATGGTATGGGACATGTGTTTGGTATACTAAATATTAGAGGTTCTCTAGAGAGTTGCTGGAAAATGTTACAAAAAACTGGTCCAGACCAATGTTGCCTGCCTGCTCGGAATGTAGTCTCAATTCCGCATGCATGGTAAACAGTTATTTTTTTTGCATAAACGCTAGTATTATAGAGTGTGTACCAAGATATCCCATTAGTTGTTTAGATATTAAAATAATTTTTGATAAATAGGTGTGTGTGCCTCAGGTCGGATATTTGTTTGGGACAGGATCAATCCCCCAAGCATCTATGGTTTATCATATTGACATCCCTTTCTACAAAACTTCTTTCTGTCACCATTGAGTTGCGCGTATAACAGAGAGTTTAATCATCAACCAGAGCCTGTCAATTTGGCCATCCCCGCTTGTAATTGTTGGCTCATCTGGAAGATGTATAATGTGTTAGAGCGATATTTCTCATTTTAACAACGGTCTGTTGTATAAGTGAACACTGTATGGATATAAATGTTTACAGATTGAAGCATATGGATACTGATGGTGAATATATAAAAGGGATTATAAATAATGGCAGGGAATTAGGTTATCTTTTTCTTGTGTGCTAGCAAGTCCCTCCTTCGTAAAATCTACTTTCTCCCCACCTATGACATTTTAAGTTTATACCTCATAACCTTTTGGAAAAAATTTGGAATTGAAAAACTTAAGTATAGAAAAGAACAAAGGGCAATAACTCAAAAATTATCAAAGGTACATGTGATCATCTCTTAGTGCACTGCATACCTCTGCAGTGAGATCTGATGCACTTACTGAAGATATTCAAATAGTTAATTCTTCTAAGCTTTTGAGTTACTCTTAGATACTGGACAAAATGTCCAATTGAAAAAATAACAATGGCAATAAGCTTCAAAAATATGCACGAGTAGAGTTATATTACTTGTGCACTGCAATCCTACTCCAATAAGGTCTACCACCTATGAAGTTTCAAGTTACACCTCAATACTTTTAGAGATGCTCCGGACATAAAATGAGTATTCCGGCGGAAGGGATAGGACGACGGGACGGGACTATTTCTTTCCCTCGCCGAATTTTTCGGCGGTGGATAATAGAATTCATGTAAACAAACAGCAGGATCTCAGGAAGATCAGAATTTAATTGTGGCGACTTTGGCCCAAAAAAATTTTCTATGAGTCAATCAGCTCTTTTCTTAGTGTTATTTTCTTGCACTAAATCTTTTAATGTTTTCAGATATTACCTGTTTGGGAAGTCATTTAGAGTAGATTTTCAAGTTTAAATTGATAACTTTGTAAGGTTAGGCAATTTATTAAGCTTCTTGTGCTTAGTTAACATGGATAAAGATTAATTTAAGTATTCTAGCACCATGGATAATTACCATAATTATTGTCCATTTTCACTTACATTTATGTTGAGGTGATAAACACATGTGTAATCATGCAGGGGTAAAGTTTACAGAAGTTAAATTCTGAAAGAAAAGTTGGGCAGTCAGGGGGCCGCTAGGCCCCCAGTGGGTTC